TCTCTGGAGGCCCCTTTGGAAACCGTTTCATCTCGCTCGCACCACTTGTGTTTACTGCCTAGTCAGGTGACGTTATCGGCGCTATTTTTAGCAGGGCTTTCCCGAACAATTCAAGTGGTCAAACTGGACATTTGAAACGGACTATGAATATGGGGATAGCGATGTAACATAAGTGGAAGTGCATACAATACATACATTCATTAAAAAAAAAACGCCTTTTCACGTGATGTCCCTTTAACACACAGCATAAATCAAACATCACAAGTACAAATAATGAAAAATATACTTAAATTATGAATCTGAATATCACATGTCATAAAGTTCAGTATATACATAAGGAATACCTAACTTATTAGCCAATATGCATATTTGGAAGTATAGAAAGGTCAAATCAAGATTTAGGTGCGTAAATTCTAAACCATTAAACTTTAAAATTATTCTGATTCATCATAAATTGTCTAACAATTTTGTTAAGTTTCAGCAGCTATGGTACTATAGACACATTTACATGAATACTTTAAGATACTTTAATATGGTAAGTTTGGTAAACGTAGGTGAAATAACATGGAACTTATGCACTGGACAAACTTCAGTATTAAAAATCAACAAAGGGCCATAACTCTTTATAAAGTACAGAAGAGACCTAATTCCTGTGCATTGCACACCTTCTGTGGCTGATGCTGGTATACTTCAAGTCAGATCAAGATTTCTGAAACGGTTTAGAAGTTATGCCGCAGACAAACTTTAATATAAAAATAAACAAAGGGCCATACCTCGATTTTAGTGCAAGAGATTCCACCTTCCCAAGATACTTTATTATAGTAAGTTTGGTAAACGTAGGTGAAATAACATGGAACCTACGCTCTGGACAAACTTTTGTATTAAAAATAAACAAAGGGCCATAACTCTGTATATAGTGGGGCACGCGACCCGATTGCAGTGCGTGAGATTTCGCCTTCCCAAGATACATGAATATGGGAAGTTTGGTAAATGTAGTGGAAATAACATGGAACTTATGCACTGGACAAACTTCAGTAATAAAAATCAACAAAGGGCCATAACTCTGTATAAAGTACAGAAGAGACCTAATTCCTGTGCATTGCACACCTTCTGTGGCTGATGCTGGTATACTTCAAGTCAGATCAAGATTTCTGAAACGGTTTAGAAGTTATGCCGCAGACAAACTTTAACATAAAAATAAACAAAGGGCCATAACTCTGTATATAGTAGGGCACGCGACCCGAATGCAGTGCGAGAGATTTCGCCTTCCCAAGATACATGAATATGGTAAGTTTGGTAAATGTAGTGGAAATAACATGGAACTTATGCTCCGGACAATCTTCGGTATTAAAAATAAACAAAGGACCACAACTCTGTATATAGTGGGGCATGACACCTAATGCTAGTGCACTGCACGTTCTGTGGTTGATGCAGACATACCTCAAGTTGATTCAAGACATCTTTAACGGTTTAAAAGTTATGGCCCCGACAAGTTCCGATTAGAGAAGAAGAACCAGTACTACCGGTAAAACAATGTCTCTCTTCATTCGAAGGGGAGACATAATAATCATATTTAATAATACAGGTACGGATAAATGAGGTTTAATTCTGATATGTCAAATTATTACAACAATTAGCTACATGTAATTTGCAGGTGAAAAAAATGCCCAGCATCAAATCAAAACATTCTACTTAAGATATTTACAAAACTGCACAGCAGTTAAACGTGCATCAAACTTTACCACTTGTATATTGAACAAATTTGCCCGGTTTGAATTTTGTATGAATTTGTTGTTATATACATCTATTTGTATCTACCAGAAAGGGAACAAATATACAGGTCTCTACATTTTATATTCATTTGGTAAATTATTATTATCATCTTATATGTACAATTTATTCTTCCGACAATAAAAGTTTCAAATGTTTTCAATATATATATATATACAGCAGCTTTTAAACAATTGCTACCAACCTTAAGGGATTTTTCCTTTTGAAAATCACATTTGTGTTACTACAAAAGTATTTAATGTTTTTAACAGATCCTATCAAAAACCTTACAACCAACCTTGTTACACAGTCATCTTATTTAAGTGTATTACTTTACAACCTTGTTACACAGTCATCTTATGTAAGTGTATTACTTTAATGTTCTGATTGTAATTCTCATGTAACATACCTTCTGCGTGCACCTCCCCAAACTGGTGAGACAGACTTTTCTCTAGCTTCTGTAGGTCATCCTCGAGCTCTGTCATGGCTGACCAGTCCGTCTCTTTGTAGTTCTCCATTTTCCTGAAATACCAGAAAGCAATCTTAACAGATCTAAATTAAAGCTTACAATCAAAACCGAACCTCAAAACAAGCAGGCTCAGAGACACTAGTCAAGAAAGCACCTGTTGTATCTAAATGCATCATCCTATAAGGCAACCAAAATAAATGAGGGTTCCCAGCAAAAACAAGTGTTTCCTTCGGAGTCTTCTGCTGGAGTGACTTAAAAAATTCCAAAACTAATCTTCTGCACTATATGCAATATTTGGGCCCCTTCACCTTTATCCGTTTTGTACCTACAAATTCTGCACTTTTGTGTGTCTTTTGAACACATACAGTTTACCCTTTCTCTAGAGTGTAACCCTTTACGACCTCTAAATATTATTTTAATGAGTTTGTAAGCTTTACAAGTAAATAAATATAACAAAACTTGTTGAGTGGAAGAAGATTTAACAGAAACTTACTTCTGCTTTTCTTTGATCTGTCTCTCTCGGTTTTCTTTAGTTTTCTTCTTTATTTCTTCATTCCTTTCCTCCAAAAGTTTCTGAAACAGATATTTGTTTTCTTTCTAATGATGGCATTAAGATAAAGGCATCATTGTGTGAACATACAAGTATGGCATCGCCATATAATCAAAAACTTCTATTGGATTTACTTATGAAAGAACAGCAAAGCTGTGAACATATAAGTATGGCACCATTGTGGAATAAATGTTCCCTAGTGTTGTATGCTTAGTAACGTTAAATAACATCCAGAGAGTACCTACTAATCAATCATTAGTAGGGACAGAATAAAGAAAATGCCTGCAACCTTTTGAAATATGCATATGCCATACACTGAAATTATACAAATTTATTAACCATAAACTATACAAATTGAAGATATTTTCTGAAAATGGACATCCAATCACAATTAAGCAAGAGTGTAACGTAATTAATTAATTTTGTTGATCATTGCTATCATGAAAACTCTTCAAATTTAAATAAAATCTTGCAATGTTCAGAAGTTATTGTCTGAAATGACTAAAGCCAATCTGATTCCACTAGGTGTCTACATCCAGTATCCCCCCCCACCCCCGGAGATCAATCAGCAATACCTACTTTGTATGCTTGTACTCGTTTGTCACGTTTCTTTATAAACTTCACCAAGGCCTGAAGCAAAGAATACACAGATTTTTATAAAAGCGTACAAACATTTCAACATGAATAATTTTGAAAAGTATAAATGGACTAGTACAATCTGGGGGGATATCACATGGGAATGTAAAATGAAGCGTCAATGTAGTAAGCTATTTGGTAATGTATAATATTTATTCATGTTCAGATTCTGGAACACGCATCATTTTCTGTAAGATCCCTAGAGCTGTTAGAAAATCAAGCACTTTTCTATAAATTTCCTAATTTTGTACAAATTCTAATAAAATTTTCTTCATAAAAGTCTTACTGGTACATGTACTGATAAAAATTTCTTTTACATTTTAAGGTTTCTTAACAAAATAATTTTGAACAGTTTCCTAGATAACATGGGAGGGAATACCGGATACATTGTATCAGGTCCAGTACACTTGACAAGAGGAAATGGATTACTGAACCAAAGTGCCTCAACAGTTAATTTTGTTACAATGCCTTGTAAATACACTGTGAAAGCCTACTTATTATCTCATTAACCAAATTCTTAAAAGTTTCTTCTAGAGATATTTTTTCTACTGCTAATCTATACATTTTTTTCCTTTTAATCATTAACACTTGGCTGTGTGGCGTCGTGACTAGGTAGATCATCAGACCTATAACAAAGTGCGGCCCAGAAACTCTCACCCTAATCTGTTCATTCCTCTCCTTTTTGGCGACATCCCTTAGCTTCTTGTTTTCAGCCTCCATGAGCCTGCGACATCGGCGGTCTGGTGCCTCCCTTGTATCATATTTCTCCACCCACACAAATGACTTGGCTGTCTGGAAACTCTCCCAGAAGTCGTAGAATGGCTTCACCACCTACAGATACACCAAGTGAGAGATAATTTACAACCAATAAATGTATCTACTAGATCACATCCATAAGTGTGCTGTTGAGTATTAGCCCCTGCCAAACAATGAGCTAGATATGAGGAAGCCAGGTTAAAAATTATAGTAATTAATAAATCAACTAACTATCAAATGAATAGGGAATGTGTTACTGTTTCTGAATCATTTGCTTGTTAAGCTAAGGTCATAACAAAATTAAGTTGTTAAAATGTTTGAGCATCAACTTTACTGAAATTGTCTACTATAGTACATAGTTCAGGCAAAATTAGTTTAGTCTACAGGAATGAAGAGCAATAAAAACAGATATGATTTCATGTTAGCTCTACAGTTTACAGGCAATATAAAGTAAAACAAACCTTATCTTTGGGTAGATTAATATCATTTCAAACATGCAGAGTAACAACACAAACTAAATTTTGTATCTATACTTCACAATGGTAGACCATTGATACTCACTTCTTCATAAGAACTCTTAGAATCACCAAATTCTGGAAAATCACAGTCACTTTCATCATCATCCATGAAAATGTAATCTTCTTCAGACACCTTTGTAAATACATCCTTGTATACACAGTAAAATCCCTGGAATAAGAAAAGAAGAAATTATTTAATGTTTCCTTAAATGCTTTAAAGTTAAGTACTTTGTAATCAATGATTGACAACATCTAAATTTTCACAAATCACTCATCTCATTCATTTCCTGATACACAGTATATATCTGAAGTGAGCAGAGACTTACATTTTCATCGTCGTCGAATCCAGAGTAACAAGAGGAATTGAAGTACTGAAACACGTCCAAACTGTCGTCTTCGTAGTCGTCACCGTGACCTAGGCCTAAAACACAAATACAAAATATCTCTATTAAAGCTAAACCACATCACTTATTCTGAATTTTTATGTTAATTACCACTGAAGCCAGAATGTTTCCCAACTCCAGATACTCCAGATATTTGAGGTAGATTCAACTTTACTAACTCAAGCAGGGCTTTCAGTAGACTAAGAGTACCCTTCAGTGTATTTTAGCTTTGACTCTTGGGTTTGAGAAGATATGTCTATTGGATGCATAATTTGTCTCTCCAAAATTCAGGGAAAATTCCATTTGACTTCTGAACTTGATAAATGCCAAGGGTTAACTGAACACCCAGCTCAAGAATAATATTCCTAAATTTGATAGCATAAATTTTACACTCTTTGTGATGAAATGTGTATACATATATTGTTAAACTGATTTATGACTTGATTTTCATGGCTTATGGCCATTTTGCAGTTCTGTTCCGATTTACTCCAAAATTGATATAATTTACAAAGGGCTAAACAGTTTGCTACATAAACAAAGCACGAAGCCAATGAATTCAAACATTGGAGATAAGACAAACAGACTTACCTCCCTTGAGTATGGCCTCTCTGTGTCTGTCATACCATGCACGCTCCTGTGGGTCACTGAGTACATCATATGCCTGCTGTACAAGTCGGAACTGTGCCGTACATTCATCAATATTGTCAGGATTTTTATCTACAAGTGATAAAGCGACATTTTATACAAAATAAACCCCCTGTTTTTTGTGTGTTTATTTTTAATCTGAAGGTTTGATGACATCTCATTGGAGTGAGTGGGGTCTAAATGATTGTTAACTGTTGTATTGAGCCCATTAATTGAATTCTCAAACTCTGCTCATTTAAATCATAGGTCACAACATTCACCAGAAATGTCCACATATATGATAACTGGTACAATTTAGACTTGATTCATTACCATTTATGGTAGCTTCCCCTACAGAAGAAAATTCCCCTGTTCTTTGAAATTCCACTTATGTGCTTCAAAATTCCCATATTTCAACGATATGATAGTGTATTTTCTTCAAAATATTTCCCCTATATATGTTTTCTTTTTAAGTTCAACAGTTAAATGCATAATACTGCATATATACATTTTCTTCACATAATTTTAACAAAAATTCTGTTTATAAATTCAAATGTACTGGTATTGCACACCTGTATGTCGGACAAAACATTTATCTTTTACCTTCATGACGTTACAGCCATGTATCAAAATTGTGATTTCTCCCAAATTTGAAAAAAAGAGTATTTTCCTCTAAAACTTAGATTGATCCCTGATCATGATGACCGGTCTGGACCCAGTACTGCACTGTCAGAGCTGGTCTGGACCCAGTTCTGCACTGTCAGAGCTGGTCTGGCCCCAGTACTGCACTGTCAGAGCTGGCCTGGACCCAGTACTGTACTGTCAAAGCTGGTCTGGATCCAGTACTGCACTGTCAGAGCTGGCCTGGACCCAGTACTGTACTGTCAAAGCTGGTCTGGATCCAGTACTGCACTGTCAGAGCTGGCCTGGACCCAGTACTGTACTGTCAAAGCTGGTCTGGACCCAGTACTTCACTGTCAGAGCTGGTCTGGACCCAGGACTGCACTGTCAGAGCTGGTCTGCACCCAGTACTGCACTGGCAGATCTGGTCTGGACCCAGTACTGCACTGTGAGAGCTGGTCTGGACCCAGTACTATACTGTCAGAGCTGGTCTGGACCAAGTACTGTACTGCCAGAGCTGGTCTGGACCCCGTACTGCACTGTCAGAGCTGGTCTTGACCCAGTACTGCACTGTCAGAGATGGTCTGGACCCAGTACTGCACTGTCATAGCTGGTCTGGACCCAGTACTGCAGATTGATCCCTGATCATGATGACAGGTCTGGACCCAGTACTGCACTGCCAGAGCTGGTCTGGACCCCGTACTGTACTGCCAGAGCTGGTCTGGACCCAGTCATGCACTGTCAGAGCTGGTCTGGAACCAGTACTGCACTGTCAGAGCTGGCCTGGACCCAGTACTGTACTGCCAGGGCTGGTCTGGACCCAGTACTGTAATGTCAGAGCTGGTCTGGACCCAGCACTGTACTGCCAGAGCTGGTCTGGACCCCGTACTGTACTGCCAGAGCTGGTCTGGACCCAGTCATGCACTGTCAGAGCTGGTCTGGATCCAGTACTGTACTGTCAGAGCTGGTCTGGCCCCAGTACTGTACTGTCAGAGCTGGCCTGGACCCAGTACTGTACTGTCAGCGCTGGTCTGGACCCAGTACTGGACTGTCAGAGCTGGTCTGGGCCCAGTACTGTACTGCCAGAGCTGGTCTGGACCCCGTACTGCACTGTCAGAGCTGGTCTAGACCCAGTACTGCACTGTCCGAGCTGGTCTGGACCCAGTACGGCACTGTCAGAGCTGGTCTGTGCCCAGTACTGCACTGTCAGAGCTGGTATGGACCCAGTACTGAAATTTCAGAGCTGGTCTGGGCCCAGTACTGTACTGTCAGAGCTGGTCTGGTCCCAGTACTGCACTGTCAGAGCTTGTCTGGACCCAGTACTGCACTGTGAGAGCTGGTCTGGACCCAGTACTTTACTGTCAGAGCTGGTCTGGACCAAGTACTGTACTGCCAGAGCTGGTCTGGACCCAGTCCTGCACTGTCAGAGCTGGTCTGGTCCCAGTACTGCACTGTCAGAGCTGGCCTGGACCCAGTACTGCACTGTCATAGCTGGTCTGGACCCAGTACTGTACTGCCAGGGCTGGTCTGGACCCAGTACTGTACTGCCAGGGCTGGTCTGGACCCAGTACTGTACGGTCAAAGCTGGTCTGGACCCAGTACGGCACTGTCAGAGCTGGTCTGTGCCCAGTACTGCACTGTCAGAGCTTGTCTGGACCCAGTACTGCACTGTGAGAGCTGGTCTGGACCCAGTACTATACTGTCAGAGCTGGTCTGGACCAAGTACTGTACTGTCAGAGCTGGTCTGGACCCAGTACTGTACTGTCAGAGTTGGTCTACTTGTTTTGTTGGATCATATACCTGGATGCCATTTTAAAGCCAGTTTTCTGTAGGATTTCTTGAGATCTTCGGCACCGGCATCCCTCTCTACACTCAGAACCTCATAGTGACATCTCATTTTTGTCCTTCCCGCCATTTCTGGTTTTCTGTAACAGGTGAAAATCCAAATATCTGGGTTACATCTACAAATGAAGCTGGAGAATGAAGGATCTGATTTAATATGCATAAGAGTACTTAAAGTGATGTCATACATGAAATAACTCCTGATAGGACTAACTTAAAACCACAGCTGTGTTCCTAGAAATGGAGCCGAGCTTAAGCTGCTTTTGACACGTCAACATTTTTTTCTAAAGCTGTTCTTAATTTAGTTATAACTTTGATTTCATATTGGGCATGGATACACTAACACTTTGTAGCATAATTATGTAATGTTTGTGCTCCCCTGCAATTTGTTTGTTAGTTTTGTTGCTGAATATGTCATCATGCGTCACCGACTAAGAAAGCAATGAAAAGGGATGTCCATGTGTCATAAAATAAATAGACTAATAGAATCTCCCCTACCTTGAGGGTGTGTTAGAGAAATCTCCAACCCGAGGGGTGATGTTTTTTGGTTGTCTAACACGAGGATTAGACCACCAAAAAACCACCCCGAGGGTTGGAGCTTTCTCTGTCACACCCTCAAGGTAGGGGATGATTGTTCTTCTCCCATCCTATTATTTCAGTCACAACTCCACTGACAGTAGTCTGTTTGTAAACAAAAACACATGTGGGGTATGAATATCTTCATTTACTTTTGATGACGTCACAATTAACAGCGACACATTTTAATGACGTCACAATTGAACATATGCTAATCGGCACGAGGCTATCTCCCCCTAGGGGGCGGCAAGCTGGTCTTTCCCTGCTAAAACAGGAGACACACCTGTGAAGGGTGGGAGAAACACTGATCTTATGTGCACAGACAAGGGCACCAGACCACAGGTAATAAGGGCAACAGACCATAGGTGGTTCTGACAGTTAAGCTAAGATTTAGTCTCCCAGTCAAAGGTGAGATGTCTAGCAGTGAAGAGTGACATGACAAAGTTTTGAATAGAAAGCAAGAGCATTGTTTTAACTCAGGTATCTGGTATAATAGCCATGACTAACACTGTAACCCGTCATTTTAATGGTTTATATGGGGTACCAGGTATCTGGTTTAATAGCCATGACTAACACTGTAACCCCTCATTTTAATGGTTTATATGGGGTACCATGTACCAAGCAAACTCTACTCTAGTGCACGTGTCTCCAATTCAACTTAATGGACATCAAGTGGGAAAGCTTCCTAATTCAGTGGCTACCGATGCAAGAACCTTGGATGTGCTATTAACATGCTCAAGGACTGGAATCTGCACAGCAATGCTGTAGAATTAAGTTGAGGAAAGAGCTTTATCTTTCATTTCAAAGTTTTGGAAGGCCCAGTGCAAGCTATACCATTCATTGGAAAATAACTCCTATATATCAGGCTATCAGGGAAAGCCTTGTGAAATATTTAAGCCATTCACAGTAATGATTGTGTATCATTTATGATCAACAAACATTAACAAGAATTATCAGACTAACAACAGCTGATATTTTAAACATACAAGTGGAAAAATTCACATTTTGGAACAGTCTTTCTTTTATTTTTCTTGGGGTCAATCACATGCTGGAACATTGCTAAAAGTTCACGTCCAATCACCTGATGTGGAGACTTTAGTCTCACCTCCTTATAGACTGAACTTTTGTATGTGTAGCGGAACTGGACTGGGTTGATCGTTGGCGACCAGATAGCTCAATTGGTAGAGCATCCATCTAGAGCCCGGTTGTGCATTTTCCCTCTCCTGTTATAAATATATATGCGCACTTGCCACTGCTGATCATATGCTAGAAGTGGTTTTTTTTTCAATGTCATCATATACAGATAGAGAAAGTCCCTTTTCAAAAGTAAAATGAAAGAATTCAGCATTTCATTTTTTTTTTATCAAAATCACATGCTCTGATATATCTTTTTAAACAAAAGTGCATACATCCTGGAATAGCTCGATCTCCTTGGAATGAATTAGATTGAACAGTTGAAGAAAAATCACCTGAAAAAATAATTATTGGAATACGTTGGGTCATCCCTACATTCAACAGATCGTATTTGCTACCACTGTACAGTATCAATATATGTGTTGACAACTTGACACTATTACTAACATGATTTTATAACCCGTCCCAGGGAATTTTCGGCGGATGACATTCTCTTCAGTGTTAGTGATCGTAGGCAGTCGTGGAGAGAACATATATCATGTCGCGATAGAAAGACCTATATTTAATTGAATTCAGCACTGATCAAGTATAAATGGAGTATTCTTCAGTTTTATCTTACCTATCTCCACCTTCGTTCAAAACATCACAGGTTTCTTGCACAATCAACACGCTGTCGTGTTTTTTCCTAGTCAAATTAATTTCACACCTCAGTAGTGGAGAGGTAGACAAAGGGAAGTAACCTAAATTAAATACCGCGGGAAAAACAAATTCTTGTCATGGATTTACATAAGCCACTTTAATTATTCAGTTTTGAAGGGTTTCTGTTATAAATAAAAAAAATGATAATTATACTTGAAAATCATTTTTATTATTGTAGTATACTTTGTATGAATATGAAACAAAAATTCAGCACATCTGTTTTCAAATACTAAAATGTAAAACAGTAGAATCTGGTTGAATTGAAAGTTAGTAAAATTTGTCTCTGCCAATCAGAAGACAGGGGATGGATTTTATATAAACCCAAAAATTGTCTGCACCTGCTCATGACCATAAGAGCATTGTTCATATTAAGTTTGTATACTAAATACGCCTTTATTAATAAGTGCTGAAGAAGTTTTTTTTTTAGTTCTCTGAGCCACGAGTGATGATTCAGACATATGGTTTTAAAGATTTGACTCCACTTCCAGTATTGGGCTCTGCCCCTCCACTCCAGTCGGGCCACATTCTTTGTTTATAAATCGAGTCCCCTTAACCAAGTGATGCTTCAGACAAAATTTGGTTCAAATATTAGCTGTAAAGTGGAGGAAGTTGAGGCACGATTAAGTCTAGTGGTAGGGCTCGTGACCGAAGGGTTGCAGGTTTGGGTCACGGCACGGCACGGCATGGCACTGTGTTGTATCTTTGAGCAAGATACTTTACGCCGCTTGTTCCAGTCTACTCAGCTGTAAATGAGTACGTGGTTGGGCTGCGAGTGCTAGAATTGTTGAATGCAAGCTGTGAGCGCCGACATGGCAGCACTGGCTGTTACTCAGGGAGTTGAGAAAGATATTGGCTGGTTGCAAAGGCCCTATTACCACGGATAATAATTTGTGAACTGCTTTGAGACGACCTACAAACTCATAATGGCCCTTTGAGTCAAGTGAAATAAAATTGCAACCAATACATGTATTGTAGTAGCAATCAAGTGAATGACGTTATCAGAAAGACCGAAAATGGCATAAAAACTTGTTGTCGACGTACACAGAAATAATCTATCACATAAGGACCTGTGTTTACCTGTGTCATGACACTCATTACATAAGCTGTTATGACCACACGTTTAGTGACACAAAGCAGAGCTGTGATGTGATTAGCTGTAGGTTCTTACGGTTTAAATTTCGATGTACAGTTTGTAATAACCAGCTAGACAACCTCCAAGTGTCACAGACTTCCAACTGCATTAATGTGATGTCACAAGAGAAAAAACTTGCAGTCAAAATGGCAACATTTAGATTTCAAGTCAGCCTGATTAAACACTGTTTGCACAAACATTTCCCCAAAATCTTGGTTAATATATAATGAACAGAATTTTACATTTGTTTTCATTTCATATGAAATTTATGAAACATGTCAGAAATTTTCATTTTTTAAATCAAACTCTGGCAAAATCTTCTACAAGTTTGATTGTAGCATCACGATAGAAATAACTATGTAAGTAACATCCTGTGATTAAAAACAGATATCAATTTTGGATTAGATACAAGTAATGCCATTTTCTTATATCTGGAATGTGTTCATGTGATTTCTAAATTCATATTATTTGTACCATTATACATATACTACATACAAGGAAATGTTTGCCGCAGTTTAACTTTTGCCTTTATTTTTTTTGCCCCTCCCCAATGAGGGCAAATTTATCATGACAGTAAATATTAGTACACATAACACCATACAATATATAGTAAGTACATGTGAAGAGCGAAAATAACATTAGGAGGACATGGATTTTATTGGAAAAGGGTGAATATTTGACTGGGGGAAAGTTTTCTCGTAAACAGTATTTAGAGAAACTTCAACAATACAGTAACTACACTAATATTGGTATGTTTAAAGAACACAAAGCAGTCTTTTAGACCTTTTGTGAGTGTGTAACAAAATGAAGCACAAAAAAGCTAGATCTTTTATATTGCATTCTTTAATTAGATCACAGCATGTTATTGTAGACAGAAAATGGCCATGTTTTATTTCATCACACAGAGTTGTAAATTCAGTGTATAAGTCAGTCCAACTGAAAAAAGAACAGATTGGTAAATCAGAATATCAATCATGTATAAATATTTTGAAATTCATTTAAATGCTCCTTGGAAGGAAAACAAGTTGATGTAAATACAATGTATCAGTGCTTTAGGATAATGTTACCAATTGATAATCACAAATGACGCAGTTTTTAAGATACGTACCAAGATCTTACACCATTATGATCATAATTTTTTGTTAACATGTAATAAAATGACTGAACAATATACAATCAGTATGTTGAAGGACACATTTGAATTGTACGTAGATTAGATTCTAACTCTCATCCCTAATGACAGACTGTAAGGTTACTATTAGGCCATGCATTCTCTCTTTGTGTAACAGAACAAGTGTTCTTTTAAATGATGGTTCTGTAATTGTACTTATCATCATGAACCTAGTCCAAAAAATGTGTATTTTGATTATTTGGGAAATTGCTTATTTAAATTTTCTTTCACTGATCACAAGAATGGACAGTTAAGAGTCTCTTTTACACTAGAAGAATAAGGATGGTACTTCATATCTTTCATACACAGAAATATTGCCAAAAATCAGCAGGAACCGTCAAGAAAAATATACCATGTCCACTTCAATGACACTACATAAATTACCTTAGAATACCGGTAAATCTTAAAAGATGAATTCAACTCACTCTTAATCAAAATCCGATATTCCGAGTCTATAAATGATTCTCCCATAAGACTTGAATTCATTATGATAGTAAGGGTTTTAACACAATTATATTTATAATGGAATAAATAAGGACTATTGAAAGCTTGAGGTATATAATGTTTAAGTATAGAGTATGAAGGATTTGTTCACAATACAACACATTGTGTCTGGTCACTATCAACCTCTCTTTATTAAAACAATCTCATTCCTCTGTTGTAGACCAGAATTATCTGTACTGCCCTGACATGATAACTAGATATAACTAGGTACACGTGTCTCCATTGGCTTGCTGTCACATTTTAGTCAGCATTGAAATATGTTTCCATTAGCTCCACTGAAACTCTTGACTTGATGTTACACTTTGGTATGTCTTAAATGGTTTCACTAAAACTCAGGACTACTTTCGTGTTTGGTCAGCCTTGAGGTAAGTCTCTATTAGCTTGACTAAAGCTCCGGACTAATTTCACATTTGGTCAGCCTTGTGGTAAGTCTCTATTAGCTTGACTAAAACTCCGGACTGCTTTCACGTTTGGGTCGGCCTTGAAGATATGTCTCCATGGGCTCTAATCTCTGGTGTATAATACAATCTGAAATGCAAAACAATTCATCAATGGAAACATGACAGTGTAGTTTGTATGTACTGGACACATTTTGTCATAACACTTTGTTACACTAATCAAATGCTCATTATTTGCCATGAACTTCCTTGTTTTCCCCCCAAATAATGATGTTTTACATTCAAAACTATGAGACCATAATGAAAGGTAACACCTTTTTGCAATGTAGTGTTCATCATTTCAATTTACAAGGTCCATCTTCAATAATGCAAATGACCACTGCACACATTTCTATGTAGAAGCCAAAGAGGTGACACATGCACCTTACACCTAGAAAGACGACAGTCACACTTATGCTTACCTAGAATCCAGAGGGGTGACACACTGGTCCGGTCAGGGTAGAAGTCATTGCCTACAATCACCTGGGCCTTCGAGGTGGACATTGTTACCTGTAGTACAGAAATAAAATCATCACTGTCTAATGGGTATTAATTTTATTTTTCTTCTGGGTCTTTGCCAGTGGTGATCTTACCAATATTTTCTACAGGTTGTTACAAGAAGGCTTTTTGTGGTATAAGTATCTTAAATGATAACAGATGGATCATCTGTGACACTGCCACTGGCTATTATAATGGCATTTGCTATATCACCACAATTACAAACAATGTCTGTTCAGGATGGAGTTTTCTCAAACAGACTTTTACATCAGCTAATAATTTTAGCTTAAATAGAATGCAATAATTATTGAATGAATTAAGATATGTCAGAATGATAAAATAATAGTTCTGTTTTGCAGCTACTTTGCCAAATATTTTCCAGGGTTGAAATCAAGGTGCATTACTTTGGGTATAAAATATAAACTTTATTTAGTTTACAACAATTATGAAACAAGTTATTTCAGCTAATATTTATCACTTTTGTTTGCCCGGATGTAAGCACACGGGGGTCTTAATGTGGGAGGAAACCAGAGTACTTGGAGAAAACCCACGTGATTTGGCAGGTAATCCTATACTTTTTCACATCCGATCGGGGATTCAAATCCCAGCCGCCTTGGTGAAAGGCAAGTACACTATCCACTGCGCCACCCGACCACCCAATATTACTTGTACCATTATATCTTTAAACCTAGCAATTATTGTGGCAAAGTAGCTGCAAAATATAACATTATTATATAAAAGCTAAAAACTAAATTCAGGATGGACACCTTAGATTAACAGATACACATTAAAATTACTTACCTTCAGTTATTGATGAAGTGAAAATTGAGAAAACCTCATTCAACTATCATTATTTTATTAATACTCACTACAATAACATTACGTATTAACCCTTATCCTTACCAAGTACTAGATTAATTTGACTTACCTGACCACCGCAAAGTTTGATGAGAGCAGCCAGATGGGACCTGGGGGGTGAAGTTTTCTGTGACACATACATGATGCCAACACCAGAGAACATAGTCGACTTGTAGTTCTCCTTCAGACTTTCCTTCTCTAACCGGGCTGTCTACAGAACAATAGGAAAAAAAATTAAAATCAAGGGCCTGTAGAACAATAGAACAACAGTGTAATACAGGGTGCCTACAGCATAATACAGCAACAAGGACTGACTGACCTATATTAACCCTTTCACCTCTATGTAACTTTAGTAAACTCTACCATGCTTTGATCTGGATGAGTCCATTATGGTCCACAGTGGGAAAAGGATTAAGACATCACACGAAAAGCATTTTTAAACTTCCCATTTCGTTAGCTGCGGGAATCGTAGCTTCTAGGCCCGATTTTTTTTATTTTTTATTTTTTTATTATTAGACCAGAAGCTACGATTGATCTCGCAGCCACTTATTTTGTGTACACACTGATATAAACTTTCATAACAGAAAGATTACTTTGTTGAGTAGCATTTGCCTTACCTTGACAGACGGAAACCAGTCGGTCACCTCATACGCCTCCTCTGGTAGCCATCGGCCAGCATCCAGGGAATCGTAAACCTTCAAACAAAATATCAATGGTAAAGCCATGTCCTTTCCTTCTGTCTTCATGACAATAAATCATTAATAGTTATAGAAAGTACAAAAGTAACAATAGCATGTACATGTTGCTTGTCAAATAAGTCTGAATTAATATTACAAAGTGTAATACTGAAACCAAGATATTTTTATCTTGACTGCTTAAACCCTCAAATTAAAATCACGATATATATCTCATGACGTTTAAGTTATTTCTATTATGACCTATCAAGTTGTGAACATATATTGTGTTTAGTAAACTGTTTTTTTATGTATGTGGGCCACTTTGTGGTATTTGTAACAACTCTGAGTAACAAGTCTTGATGCTGATTAACAAGTGCCAGTATGGTAAGGCGACGACACGTGATAAATCAACAAATACCTTCTGGTATCAAATATGTGTATCATCAGTAAGTCCCATTCTGGCAATATGTACTTAATTTTGTCCCAATCTTGCACTGCTTACCCTTACACGTGAAAACAAAACTGTAATGAAGAAATTGCTATTTTAAAAACTTACCTGTTTTAATTTCTATCTGTTCAAACATTATTACAATAATGCAAAGAATACAACAAAACATTTTTTTTCAACACACTACAGTCATAACATCTATTTTTTGGTGAATAGCTACCGGGTATATATAGGTGCACAATATTTTTAGCTTAATACCCATTTTTGGTGAACGATCCAGGAACCTCTAGAAACAGCATACAACAGGTTAAGGGTGCGACGGGGACCACCGCATATTAAATGAGTCGTGGTGTCAGAAACATTGTCCGAAATTACAAAATGGCCAATCTTTTTCACAATGGAGATGACTGTGTCCTGTTCGCTGGAACATACATAGGGAAACCAGACAGTCAGATCTATCTAAATATGACAGTAACATGCAATTAACATCAAGATAAATAGACAAAAATGCAATCATTCTTGTTTTAAACCATTCTATTATTCATAAGTTTGATACCACAACTTTGACCAAAGCATTACATACTTTCCTTAACTTTAGTCAGATGTATACAACTGTACATACTACAGAAACAACTTTTAATTTCAAAAAACTTATCAACTTTTAATATATTCTCAGGTATCAATAGACTAATAAAATCTTTTACCTGTAACTGAGCGAGATCGGGTCATCTCAGTCGAGGCTTAAGATTCTGTAACAAAATCCGAACCGAGGCGTAAGCCGAGGTTGGGATGTTACAGAATCTTAGCCCAAGACTGAGATAACCTGATCTCGCTCAGTTACAGGTAATTGATGTAACCCCCCCNAAAGAACTATTCAATTTTTCAGAAAACTACAAGTACTCTACATTGCGCCTCAAATGATTATGACCTCTTCACTACTAAAGCTACATTTGAATGCTTCCGCGTAAAAAATGTAGTCCGTCCTTACAAAGATTACAACGTATTTCACAGTGCAGATTATATTTTATCTACAACATCAAATGTCTAGCAACATAAAAACTATACATACAGCGGCAAAACAGAACATTTATAAAGCAAAAATCTAGCATGGGGTGTGACGTGGGATATTTCTGTCAGAGGTGCGAGAAATAAAGATTCGATTGTTTTTTTTACGTGTATCTGATTGTTTTCAAAATAAAATAAAATACTGTATATCAGGAAATGTTCACTCTGTCAAACTTTTCGCTATTTGCCCAGTGTTAGCTTCACCTTCCACATTCAATTACTATTTATGTTATGTTGTTTACTTATACTGTATTCCCTGTGTTGATAAATTCACCCTCATTAGGGAGTGTGAAAAAGGCTAAAATTGAACTGCAGCGAATTCCCAGTATACGATATTTAGTGGAGGGAAAATTAAAACATGTTGGATTTACTTCTACTTGTTACAAACACTTACTGCGAGTGTAAACTTGTCATGACGACTGAGGGTCTGTGTGGACTGCGCCTGAAGGCGAACCCTACACTCCCTTGAAATGTGGCCATGGAATGTTCTGCTCCATCGCCGTCACTGCTGGATTTATCACTGTCACCAAACTTCTGCTGGCGTTGACCAACTGATGACTCGGAGAATGCCTTCTTCCTAGGCTTGCCACAGGACTTTGGTATTTTCTTGCTGAAGTTGAATTCATCGATACTGGGTCTTGGTGCAAAACCCAAGAAGGAGGAGGGCATGGTGTCATCACCGAACACGGTGGACATGGACATACCGTGGTGACCAGTTGTGTGTACGGTCGACTCCGACTGTGTACCGGATACACTCAGAGTACTGTCATTCACTAAAATATCCTTCATTATATTTTTTATTGGAGCAATTTGACTGTCTGTCTTATCACTGTCATCACTAGAGGAAAACATCTGATCTGCCTGTGGTCGCTTGGGATCAGATCTGCTGCCCTTTCTGGACTTTTTAAGAGATACTTTTTCATCTTCATCTGTGGTTACTTTCCTCTTCCGTCCCTTACTCGCTACACTTCCTGACCCTGTAGAGCAATTGTCTAGAAGAGTTGGTCGTACTTTGTCGGAGCTCATTGTTGGCTCAATCAGAAATGAGCTGGGCATATTATCTTGCGGCATCAACATCTTCCCTTTTTTGTTTGGCATTCTCTTTCTCTGTGGCTGCAGTTTGGTTGTAGTGCTGTCATCGACTGTTAAAGGAGGGTCAACATTGCCTGTAGTCTCGTCAGAGGAGCCTTCCTCTACACTTGAGGTACTGATTTTTTGACAATGGTCACTCAGACTAGAATTATTATCACAGTTACTAAAAGTTTTCATGTGGGGCGAGACTGTGTCAATCTCAGAAACATTAGAGTATCGCTGCTCACTTTCTCCAGGTTGCCTGTCCTGGTCAATGACACTGGCTGGCAGGGCAGTAAACGTTACAGACTTTCTGTGCCCTCTTCCTGAGGAGGATTCACATGCCTTACTTTCACTTGTGACAACCTGTCCAGGTGGGTCTGATACCCGACTTCTACGCCTACTTGCCCCACCCTTTACATTAGTCATGCCCCCTTTGACAGAGGTGGGGTCTGATGTTCTACCCCTACCTCTACTGGTACCCCCTCCTCTACTGGCTACACTTACTCTTACAGAAGATGATGGGTCTGATTCCCTACCTCTACTAGCAATATCCTCACCAACAGGTTGTGTAGTATTACTCTTACTTGTCACTGATTTCCTACGGCCTTTGGCTGTTGTCTTGCTATTTACAAAAACAGGTTCTTCTAATAGCTTTTCCGGGGAAGTCTTTTTCACCTTTACTGTACAATTAGATACCATTCCACCAGAACTGGTAGGTTCTATATCTACCCTGTTTGTCTGTATGACATCGGAGCTGTGTGTATCACTACAGTTTGTGGGCATGTCTCTGGATTCTTCTGTAACCAATGCTTTACTGTTCAAGATGACAGATGTTACAGCAAGCGACTTCCGACGACTAGAAGATCTAGTGGGCAACTCCACATCCTCATTTCCTGAAAACTTAACTGATGACATTGATTTACGACGATTACTTGTCCTCTTAGATGTGTCTGACTTGGAGGTCTCCAGGGCTGCCAAAGCACATGGTGATTGTGCACTGCTGTCATCATCAGCTGCTACTGCTTTGTCTGTAGATTTTACCCTGTTTAACACTGCCAGTGGGTCCTCTTCCTCTACCTCCATATTAACTCCACTGTTGTCTGAATGAGAAACTTAATATTAGACGATATAACATTTATAATCGGATTAGTTACATACATACATACATACATAGTCACTTTTGTATGATTTTTTACTCTTTATTCTTTAATTTCCTTCCTGTTTTTATTTTTTCAGAGTCCGTCAGTATGACATGCAGTTAAACTTTACTCATCGCGACTCAAGCAGTTAACTCTGGAAACTGCTTACAAAGTGTTAACTCTTAAACGCCTGTCGTCCTTCTTGGTCTCCTAATCAGACCCAAAATTTGTTATGCATAACTAAGGAACTTGGGGAACCTTCATGTGAAATCTGTAAAGATCTTTGAAGCACTTTCTTAGAAATAGAGCTAACAAACTTTAATTGTCAAATTCAAAGATGGCCACCTGTTAGCAATCTTGGTTTTCAGACCCAAAATTCTCTGTGCTTAACTAGGGATCACCGGGAACCTTCACATGAAATTTGAGAAACATCCCTCTAGTACTCTCAGAGAAATAGGACTAACAAGGCAGAGGTTTGCAAGTCAATCCAAAGTCCCCCATTGGTAATGATTTCTATATTTAACAAACAGTACACTTATGTCAGGAAGCATAGGTCACAGTGAGAATATAGCGACCTACTTCTTGCATTCCGCCATCCAAACATGTCCTTCTACACCAAATCTGGTTACTCTAGCTGAAATAGTATAGAAGATATGCCCCGGACAAACTTTTTCAAAAGTTAAGGTCAAAGCATAGGTCACAGAGAGGTCATAGTGACCTTCATCTTGCACTCCATAATCCCAAGATGTTCTTGTTCACCAAATCGGGCTACTCCAGATGAAATAGTATAGAAGATATGTCCCAGACAAACTTCTTGGACGGACGGACGGACGGACGGACGGACGGACGGACGGACGAACAGAAAGACGGACAGAGTGCAAACCTATAGTTCCCCCCCGCCCTCCCTGGAACCGGTGGGGGACTAAAAAGAATTGTTCAAGGACAGACAGAACGGCAGACGGACCACAGACAAGGGGCGATTTGAACAGCCAACCATCTCATGATGGTAGGCTAAACAAAGTCACCATATATTTTCTCCAGGAACCAACATGTTCAGATAAATGAGGTGCAATTGTAGTCACATACTTGTTAAGAGTATCAGAATGATCTATACAGGTCAGGGGCACATCAATAACTAACCAGTTACACAGTAATTTACAGATGACATACATACAATGTAGAAACCATTTTTTTACCATTATATTTCAGTCAGTCCCGCTTCTGACCAAATTTTCCATATTATGGTAAATTGTTTAAAGTTTTACATACCCCGTCACGGTCAACAACAGACAAACTATATAATGTATAGGCTTAAAACATCTCTTACTGAACAACTTCCTGATCAGTGGCTCATTTCCAGTCATGTGATCTGCTTCTGCATTGAGGGGTAAATCAGACAGGCTGGTACCTGTAAACAGAGATACATTCATCACTGGTCACAACAAGTTTAATAAATTAAGCACTTTAAACATCTCATTAAATTCATTATTTTAAAATGCAATGACATCATCTATTTTTACTCTTGACAGATTACATGTTAGAAAATCAGGTAAAAATTGAAATTTCGTTTGAATTTCGATTGTTACTGAAAAAGGTTTCCTGAATTAATATACATGTATATAATGAATACATGTATATAATGAAAGCACAAGATATCCAATTTAATTTTGAACAGAAACAAAAACAGGATTTGGACAAGTCTTTCTCAAAAAATACAAAAACAAATACATAACCAATTGTAGTGCCTCTATTCAAATTACATGATAATTATTTCAATCAAATGAAGTACCCTGTTCAAATATATGTTATATAATCAATTGTGCAGTAATACTGTGGATATTATCTAATAACATCCATTAAAACTTTCTTTAGTATGAAAACCCTTTTAGTAATTGCAGATCCTTGACAAGACATTATCTCATGCACAGTAAGATCTTCATAACAGAGTATGTCCTAAAACAAACACTTTTTGTTTTTTAGATAAATGACATCTAAGGCATACAGCATAAAATGTCCTTGATTCCCTATTAAATTCAGCAGTTTATACATATTAGAAATACCAACCACTATTCCTCCTGAGCTGTAGATCCCTCATTCTGGCCCTCATACTGGGAGGTGTGTCTGGAATGGTCAATCTTAGAGGGGTGGGGATCTCCTCCTATATAATAGATCACCATACTGTTATAGCCAGCCTTACAGGGTCAGAATGTCTTACTTTATGTATTTATAAAGGTCATTAAGATGTTATAGCCAGACTTACAGGGTCAAAACTTCTTCCTCCATGTATTTATAACAACAGTAGAAGTCAGCCTTACGGGGTCAGAATTTCTTACATTATGTATTTATAACAGTAGGTCATGATGTTATAGTCAGCCTTACAGGGTCAACACTTCTTCCTTTATGTATTTATAAAGGGCATTAAGATGTTATAGCCAGCCTTACAGAGTCAAAACTTCTTCCTTCATGTATTTATAAAGGTCATTAAGATGTTATAGCCAGCCTTACAGGGTCAAAACTTCTTCCTCCATGTATTTATAACAACAGTAGGTCATTAAGATGTTATAGTCAGCCTTACAGGGTCAAAACTTCTTCCTTTATGTATTTATAAAGGTCATTAAGATGTTATAGTCAGCCTTACAGGGTCAAAACTTCTTCCTNTGTAATATTCGGCCTTCGTGGGTGGGAATCTCTCAAATAACCAGAGAAGATTGTTATGATGTAAAAGTCATTCTAACAGGGATGAAAAATCCTCTTTTATATGTATTTATAACACAAGTAGATCATCATGATGTAACAATTTGTCTTACAGGGTTGGGAATCTCCTATGTGTAACAACAGTAGTCAATGTACAAAATACTCCCTTAACAGTGAAGTGGTATTAATCTCTTTTGTCAATACACATGTATCCTTCTTCAATATATATATAAATAGATATATGCAAAATTGTGCTGTGCTTTTAAGTTTATGAATGTAATCTGAAAAACTGGTTTATAGAATGTGTAGTATTTAAAAATTAAATATACTGATGCCAAATATTGTGCTCTGGTATCAATTTCTGGTAACGCTTGAAGACGTTCCAAGGTTACTCACAGGTGATCGTGGCTGTGTCTCCATTACAAGGATTCCCCCCAGGCTAGGGGAGTTAAAGGGCGTGGACTCTTTACAAGACTTCAGAAGTTCCACCTTACGTTTCCGCTTCGTACAGCGCTCTGCACTGTTGGCTACATCCTCATCAAAATCTCGTGGCTGCATCGACTTCATTTTCTGTCAAAAAACAACACACATTGAAGCATGTGACATCTTGCAATCATAAACAAATTATTGCTCATCTTTCATTGATATGCAAGCATTATAATTTGTAAATATAAAATACTTAACAGTGGTTTGTCTGACCATTAATGATCTCAACAGGAAGGAAGCTGTTGTTCCAAGCTAAACTCCTAAACTTGTTATAAAACGACAAACCAGCTAGATAATTTGTTACTATATCATACTTTTGTACAGAGTTATGTAACTTGTGTCTGTGAAGTAGATAAGCAAGTCATGCTTTTATAGATAGATGTAACAAAATAGGATATAACAGCAAAATTCCCCTACAGGTATTTGTGAAAATACTTTTCTTATTGCATCATAACCCCACGATTGTAAACAGAAGTCAGGAATATAATAACAAAATGTTAAGTGTTTGATATATTAGCAGGTAATAGCTACATACTTTTAGTTTTGTGAGGAGTATGGGTGTGGATGTGTCATCAGGAAGCATAGCAGGATACAGTCTCTCGGACACATGTTCCTGATTCTGTTTACAACTACAAGTACAAACGGGATCAAAACAGTTCAAAATCAATTTGGCAACAACACATGACACTTTTTACCAGCAGAAGTTTACCTTATATGTAGTCAATCGATAGATTATATCAAGACTTGTGTCAAGGACAATTTGTGAAGGACCTCTTCAAGGGGCTGGTCGGGGAAAAAATTACAAAATAAATGGGTCTAAATGCGTTCTCTGGCCTTCCAAAAGTTATACCACGGCAATATGATGGTCGAGTTCTGCTTGCAATGTCCAGTTTTGACCACTGAAATATCGGGGAAGCCCCGCGTAAATTTAGCGCACATCTATTTATATATGTCACGTGGTTGTTTCGAAAGTGAGGCAGTGAAGATAACAACAATAGCACGCCGTCATGTGCCATGTTGGACTCAACTAGCGGACAAGACAGCAATACTATATATAAATAATTGTTTTCAAAGGTTATGTATGATGCAAGTGTAGTATTCCTACCTATATGTTGTTGTTATATATAATGGTATTGATGCCTCGTGCCTGTCATGACTTTTGCATGCATCTTTTTCTTTCGCCGCAATGTTTACATTTGGCCTTGTTGATGATGCGTGTGCGGTAAAATTACATCACTGATCTTGGTCAATTGAGAGTTTTAGACTGTCAGGTGACGATTTAGGATTTCTTTAATATAATTATAGATTTTACTCATAGGGAGTGAATTTCAGCAAAATTAGTATCGTTATATTTCATAAGGTATTTTAAACATAAGGTATTTTAAACATGCGTTTGCCATTTTAGCAAATATGACATTTTTTCCCCGACCAGCCCCTTTAACAATATCTTGAAATGAATTCACTAATGTATATATGCATTGTTTATCTTAGGTCCAACATGATTCTGAACCCTTTTAAAAATACTACTTGTTTTTTTAATTAATTATTTTTGACAGACAAGAAATTTTCATATGTAGTCTGTTGGTTACTTCTAGTCTATTTTTTTTAATATAATTTGAGTGACAGATACTTGTCCACCAGTACTTGTAAAAAAAATAAACATACCATTTATGTTTTGAAAGTAGCTACCTAATTCATGTACTCTTTATTACTTAAAATAACACATGTCATATTAATTAAAGGTTCATTTTTACCTGTCAACCCAGAGGACAGACACAAGGAAAACGCCTTTTTTCTGAGCTTTGGTCCTCGTCCTTTTACAGCCTTCCTTATACACAACATGGGTGACATCTTCAGTGAAAGTCTTCTTGATCTTGGCACCAAGATTCTCCAGCTCCTTACAAATGGCTTTGGTTCTATTGTCGTTAGTGGACCGCACTTCTACATAAGCTACAACCTCTGTAATAAGTCATAATGCATTTAGTTAACCTTCGTTTTACAATTCCCTTAGGCCAAAAAAAAAAGTATGTCTGTTTAGGGTTCCCGACCGACCCTAGCTTTTTACCCCTGACCCAAAACATTTTGATGGAAAAAACCTGCTGATTTTTGAATTTAAGAAGGTTTCTCGCCTTTCAAAATGGCTTCCAGCTCTGTGTTGGCGCTAAATGTCAGCATATGGAGCACAATTTGCCTCCAAATGAACCTTGTTTATGTAATTCTTTGTTTTACATACAATAGTAGGGTCATAATCACATGACCACACGGTACACAAAAATATACAAAAAAATATAAAAAAAAATCGACCTACCTACCCTAGTTTTTTTGCCAATGCACCCTAAACAGACTAAAAAAAATTGGCCTTATGTAGAATATTTATTTAATTTTTCTTAATTTAACTTCTTATCATTACCAGGTAGTAGTATCTGTACATTATTGACACTTTACAGTTATATTGAAGGGAGATAACCATGCACAATTAATGGACTGCATTTTTTCTCTAAACTATATATACCAAATTATTTTTGTTAGCAAGATTATATTGGTTCAATCACAATTCTGTAAAAAACAATTGACATATGTATATCTTTAAGACAATTCACATAATGGACAGCTAGATATTTTTCTAACCAATTATCATCATAAAACAGAAATTATAACATTATGCTTTTGGATGGCAGTTGTGTAACTTGGTTTGTATATATATGTTTCTACCTTTAAGAACTCTGTCATCAACAGCCTGTGTATTAGGTAAGTCATCGACATCCTCTTCATAGTCCGCCATGGTAAACTACGATCTCATGAAAGTCCTCTAACAAAATGGAAAATATCAATATTATTGCATGATTTAAATCTTAAGATTTTCTTACAAATCTATAATACTACATACTCTCATTGTGATAAACCTTCAAGCAGTGAAAATAGAATGGTCAACATTTAATTAGATCCAACAAAGTTCTACCTACCTGGTAAGTGATATTATCAATATATGATCAATAAACATGTATTTACTGTAGTCCATATAGCATATGTATTTTAGCTCATTCATACAGGTTTATCTTTTACAACATTGAGTAGCTTCAAGCTTGGTCTTTTTCTGTATGCTATATGCTTTATTCTTTTTTTTTTTGCTTTGAGCTAAGAGTATTTGTAAGGCGTCACTGCAGAAACAAAATTCATTTTAATCCTTTACTCAATTCATGAGCTATAGAAATGTACATGTATAAGCTATATACCGCCAATTGACACTATATTCTGATCTTATTGATTTGCATGTTACTTTGTTTCGAACTCCTGTACTTGATGCACCTAGCTGTTCAAGTTGTAATGAAACTGTTTTCTCAACTAATGCATTTAAGTTTATTGACATCTTTAATTTCTTGTATCAAACAGTAGTTTAGTATCATTCTATGGTTACTTTTTTTCTTCTTCTTCTTTTAGTAAGAGAAGAATCTCCAAGAATAGAGCGATTACTAAATGACCGATTGACTAATCTGTTCAAAATTGTCTTTGAAATGAGAGGATTGTTAAGATCTTCAACCCGATATAAGATGTTGCATTTTAGTTCCAGCGCATGTATGCATTGCTCAGAGTTCAGTGGATATTTCATCTAGCCTGAGTTTCCTCTGGCCCCGACACCAGACTTAGACATTTTGACAGATCGACGTCTAAGTCAAGTGTCAGGGGCAGAGGAAACTTGGGCTAGTTTCAAACTTGTTTCAGGTTATCAGGTCCAGAACACTCTGCTGATTGATCTGTAAAGACCTATAATAGCTTAATGACTTATCCGAAAAAGGTCGTTTTTAAAAGAAGATTTTATCATTAGGTAGATAACAAAAAACATTAAATATATATATGTATTCTTTTTAAAAGATAATGATGTGAAAAAATCGAAAATTTAACATTTATGAAAAATGAAAATAAACATCTAAATGTATGCTTTTTGTTGTCAACATTACTATTTTATGCGACTTTCCTTTAATTTAATGTAAATTGAAACCTGAGAAATAGCTCAATACATCTATAAGTTATAGGTGAATATAGCTATAGGTCTTTGATTTATAGCTATACTGTACAGTACAGTAATGTATAGCTCAATCGGCAGACAATGTACAGTACTGGACCTGGTTATAGACGGTCAAACAAATTCACAGGCCACATTTCAACAACTCAAGTTCACAAAGTCTGATACATCTCTATTATAAGCAATAAGTTCATTGATACACTTACATTAACTTCTTGCACTTGTTATATGTTAAGTTAAGGGCATTGAGATTTCCAATTCTAACGTTCCTAACGATTTACCCCATCATTCGAAAATGGCGCTGTATGCTCAAAAAACTACCTCTGTGCCGAAGAGTTCTATAGAGAGGTTCTTCCCTCCCTTAGAAAAGTCTATCTTCGACCCCTTTAATTTGGTTTAGTTTAAACAGAGACGTATATACTACATATATATGGCTTGATATGTCTCTGTTTTAAACACAATTAATTAATTAACAACTAATTAAAAGAAATTACCAAGAGATTGATTTAAGATGTACGTGTATCAGGAGAGGAATAATGCACGGCCAGACCGGGGTTCGAACCCGGGACCCTCTGAACTCTAGACGGGTGATCCACCAATTGAGCTTGCCTATCTAGTCGCCGACGATCGACTCAATCCAGTTCCGCTACTTACGTTTACGGAGCTGTTCAACTCGTCTTTCGTCTGTCTGTTGCTTTTTCTTTCTCAAGAAGTGCTGAGTAGATCTTTATCTTATTATCCTCCTTGGTTGTATCTTCCCTCATTTTGAGACAGGTCGAAAGAACAAGATGACCACCAGGCAGACATCTTAGAATTTGATTGTTAAAAATTACTATACCTATTTCTCAAGATGTAATGGACAGATCACCAACAACTTTCAAGTATAGTTTCCCCCTTGTCTCCAGTTGGAGGTAAACATGTAGTTTCGTTTTGAAACTAGCAGAGAAGAGCTAAAACAACTTGGTGGCTGCAAGCGACCAAAATTTGACAGGTAGCGGTTAAATTGAAGGTTTTTTTTATCGATATTTCTAAAGCAGTTATGAAAATATCTGTCTTTAATTTCAGCCAGGCAACCTTCTCGGGTTTTAATAATTGAAGTCCTCGGGTTTTAATAATTCAAATTTGTACGTTATTTCTCAAAAAGTGCTTGACAGATAATTTTGAATTTTATATGCATACTTTCCTTGGTTCTTAGTTGTATCTCATATTGACACTAATCAGAAGGACAAAATGGCCCCTCGACAGCCATATTCGACTGATTTTTGTAGTTTAAGCTATATTTTTTAGTCGTTAATTTATCCTCAAGAAGTACCGGAACGATCTTTTTAACATTTCATAATTATGAATAGGTCTTAATGGTGCATACTGCATTTTGAAACTAATCGTACGAAAGAGCAAGATGGCCACCAGGCAGTCATCATTGATTTTGCCACAATTTAAGATTGTAATTATTTCTCAAGACGAACTGGACAGATCTTTATCACACTCCATCTGTAGGTTTCTCTAAGTCCCAATTGGTGCATGTTTCATTTTGAGGCAGATCGGAAGAACAAGATGACCAGAAGTTTGTAAATACTTAAATTTACGGTCTTAGCACCAGATTGTCCTTGCAGTGAGGTATAAAGGATTTCCATCCAGATACATTTTGTGAGTTACGGTATTGTGATAAGTTTCGGTCCTGGAGAGATGTTGTGATGACAACAGTTCTTGTGAGGATTATACGTAGATCTCTGTCTTAAAATTAGATACGGTAATAGTCTACCAGTGTAACGGTGAAAACGGAACCCGTGGAAAATTGAAACGGGATCAGTTTTCAGTGATGAAAATGGAGCCGAGGAGCCGTTGAAAAAGAAACCAAATTCGAATCTATTTTTACATAGCAATTGAAAATGATCGCTGCAGAAATATGAATCATGCAGAGGTATACATTACGAACAATTGATATTGAGTTTAAATATTCACCTAGTTGAACGTAATGAGGTCATTCTGACTTATTGCTCAAAATTTGACCTCCACAAAAAATATTAAAATTCATAAGCCCACTGCCGGTGACCTTATTTTGAAAGTTTGACCTACGTTATTTAAGTCTGTCACCGAGTTCAGCAATTTTCATAGAACTGGTGTTGTCCAAATTAGGTCGCTGTGACATTTTTTTTCGAAATCTTATATATCGTCTAGTCATATGTTTCCGCGCGTTATACATTTCCGCGCAGCCATTTTATCAAGCTATTATCGTAACTACCTGACCTGCTGGACACAACACAGGAATATGTTAGACGTTTAGCCATCGTATGTAAACTGACACAAAAAATACTGGAAGTTCGTCCGGAAAGCATAAGAATTAATCACTGATTAAAAAACACGCATAAATATGCAGTTTTACTTAATGCACTTTTTATCTTGCTCAAAATGAACCCATACCTGAAAAAAACAGTGATATATTTCATTCGTGAACCGGTCTTTTTTGTAGTCTGACAAACGTACGAAAATGTCTTATATAAATGAGGGCACATCTCCTCGCCGATTTTTTTCCACTTCTGAAGAGCGAAGCATGCATTCTTATATCGATAAACACTGTTTGCAATGAAAAATGCAATGAACTTCCAAATTTCATCAATTTTAAACAGAATAAAATGATAAATAACTTACCATCAATCAAAACCGATTTAGGACTGCAGAAAAAAATAATAACAGATTATATTAGAACAATTAATTTATACAATCACATTAACTCGTTCAAGTTGACTGACATATTGAAAAACCGATAAAAAAATGTCAATTTAAAAAAAAATTGTTTTGATAATTAATTTGACGATCGAAGATAATAATTCTTATACCAAACAATGCTTTTGTTCAGGCGGGCCGCTGTTGAGAATTTCTTTTTAGTGTATTCGAGTTATCTTTCTTTGAACACTAAATCAAAATAGACGCCCGGAAACACACGACGGCTTCTTCCGATTTGTTCTGATTTTTTTTTAAATGCTGTTTTTTGTTGCTAGTTTTTTGTTTCTATTAGTAGATTGTATACATGTTTATCACGGTCGTCCGTAATTTCAACAGTTTTCTGCCGATATGAGTACGAAATCGCGAATGCTTCTTAAGTGCGCGGAAACCGAGAACACGAGGATACATCATGATAAAAAATATCGGGCTTAGAATTTAATACATGTAACACCGTTGTTTGACAAAATATGCTAACGTACTTTGCATAATATCCTTTCTATGTAATCGTTGTAAAATGGCTCGGGTCAATACTCATTGTCGAAAAAGAAATATTGAAAAGTAGGTCACTTTGACCTTATTTGGTCGGACGACGGACGCCAAGGTGCAAAATAAGATCACTGTAGTCTTTCGGTCAAAGTGAGCTTATATAATTATGAAACTGACATGGATCCGTCCTCTACGACAAAGAAAGTTTTAACGGTTCCCAAGTTCCATTTTCAACGTTGAAAACTGACCTCGGTTCCATTTTCTACTGGGGTCCATTTTCGCTGTACCGATATTCACGTGTGAGGCTCGGTCCTAGACAGATACTGTAATGAATGTATGCATATGTTTCTCGGTCATAGGCATTTCTTGTTATTAAACAAAACCCCAGAGAAACCCGTGGAGACAAATTCATTTATTTCTTTTTGGCATACAATTAAAAAGAACATGATTGATATATCATGACAGTTGATGTGATGAACAAGAGGCCCATGGGCCTTAACGGTCACCTGATATATTTATCGGAGAGTTGATTTTTGTTTTTAACATGAACAGAAATATTATTCAAAGTGACAAAAAACAATAAAACCACCTTATTCAATATCTAGCATGCAGATTTAAGACTGAAAAGTATTTGAAACTAGCACCTCTGATTCTAAACAATGAAAATGAAGAAATTTTATTTTAGCACA